TTTAGCCCAACATCTGTTGTGGCATCTTTGCCCAAGTACACGGCCCAAAAGTTGGAACGGTGGGCCCTGCTGCTGATGGGCTACAGTTATGTCATCCATGACATCCCCGGCGAAGTCAACGTCTGGGCTGACCTGCTGTCGCGCTGGGGATCTACCCTCCCCAGCATATGTGCCATCAGCCAGCAGCCACTGCTGATCTCGCCGTTGCGGGATGAAAAGTTTGTTTGGCCAACATTTGTGTCCATCGCCGAAGCCCAGGTGGTCGCCCCTGACGACGTCTTGTCGAGAATGACCAAGAGCCTAGACGCCGTCCACCTGGTGGTTCTGGCGTCTGGCCAGGCGTGGCTTCTACGTCTCGTCGACGATGTGATCTGGGTACCCGTCGCCGCCGCCGAGTTGCAGCTGCGGCTGTGCGTGTGTGTCCATGCAAGTTTGGCGGGCCACCGCACGGCCAAGGCCACGTTGGCCAGCCTGGAGTCGTTCTGCCAGTGGACCGGCATGAAGGGCGACGTTGAATTTTTTGTGCGTCGGTGCCTACATTGTGCCAGTGCATCTGGCGGTTCGCCGCGTCCGCTTGGCGAGGCCCTCCACTCGACCGCACCCAATGGACTAATTCATTGGGACTTTGTGTTCATGGGCGCCTCCAAGACAGGCGGCGACAAGTACCTGCTGGTAGTCAAGTGTGACGCCAGCAATATGGTTTGGTTCTTTCCGGCTCCCGAGGCCACGGCAACGTTCGTCAAGTACTGCCTCCTGCAGTGGTTCGCCGTGTTCGCCGTGTGCTACGAGTGGGTCTCCGAACAGGGGACCCATTTCAAGAACCAAGTTATCGCGGAGCTCCAGCACGTGCTGGGGGCTCATCACTTCACGACTGCCCGCTGCCTATGGGCGAATGGCACAGTGGAGGTCGTGATGCAGCAGTTGCTGCGTCTATTCCGGGCATGTCTGAGCGAGTGGCGCATGGCGCCCGACCAGTGGCCCGAGGCCCACCTCGTCAGCATGCTCGTGCTCAACCAGCTGCCTTCACCCTCCCTTGGTGGTATGGCTCCCGTGACCGCCATGTCTGACCGTCCGGCAATGTCGCCGGCTGAAACCATGGCGTTGCCGGGTCAGCTCATCTCGGCCACGCTGGCTGAGGTGGAAGAAGGTCAACGTGAGAACATTGCCGCGCTGGAAGAAATGCACAAACAGATGTTGGTGGAAAACGCACGGAAGCGTGACCGCTTGCGGCAATACCACGATAAGAAGAAGGGTGTGCAGATGGCCCAGGTCGTAGTGGGGGGCTATGCCCTCTACATGGGCGCACTTGCGCCAGAAGTTGCGGACCAAGTGGTGCGGCCCGGCCGTCGTCACCGAGGTGACCAGTAACTGGGTGTACAACGTCGAGAACCTGCTAGCTTACTACGTTCGCCCCGTCCACGCCAGCCGTCTGATATTCTACGAGGACTGTGACTTGGACGTGATGTCCGAGCTGCTGGCCCACGTCGCCCACAACTCAGAAGGCTTCGAGGTGGAGGCTATGGTGGACGCGCGGTACGTCCCCACGACCAACGTTTACGAGCTGTTAATCAAGTGGCGCGGACTCCAAGACGCGGACAACTCGTGGAAGCCCGCCAACAACATCTTCGCCGATTTACCCGTGATGTTCAAGGCTTTCTGCAAGGCGGCCACGTCCGCCGTAATCAAGAAGATTGCCGTTGCTTACGAGGTTATGTAACTCGTGGGGGAAGGGATGTATTCGGTTCGAATTACTGAGACGGAAAGGAGTAGACCTGTGGCGTCTGCTCCTTGCCGTCCATTGTTCGGTACTTTTGGTGGTTGGAGTACCATATGGATTGGTAAAGTGTATTTACCCCTTTATCGGGCCTGAGAGTTTAGGTAGTTTGAGTGGCTCGTTGTCAGTCACTTCGTCTTTTACCTTTGAATATTCCAACGTTTTGGTTTCGATCGGTTTTGAAGTAGTTGAGATACAACACCGCCGGAACACACCACCACCACCATGGCCACCTGCTGCACTGCATGGAATGTAGTCCATCACAAGGAACTGGAAACCGTACAGCGCAGCCATGAGTACCATATTCACGTACCCTTGCATGTCCCCAACGCATTCGGCCCTACACCATCCAAGTGTCATCGGCAAAGTCTTCTTGCGATGTGCTCGCACCAGTTGTTGTGGAAACCAAGTATAATTGGCTAGTCTGGTGAGATAATTTGGAGGTGCAACTGTACGAATTGACACGATATTTCGTATATTTGAGCCAAATTCGGAGCGGAGTTTTATTTCAGGAATTTCAAATTCCGGGTTTGCTAAAGGTTCTAATGAGGGAATTATCACATCCGGATACACCTTTTCGCCTGTAGACCTGTAACCTGGCTGGGACTCCGTCCAACCCTTGGTGCATACTAGTACATACGATGCTTAACCCCTAGTAAGAGGTGAGGTGGTCCGAGTATACAAAGTTTCATATAAATACTCATATTGCAGTGTTTTCTGAGAAAAACTACAGTGGAATAACGTTAGTTTAATGAGGGAATTGTACCATGTACACATACTCCAGTGTTGTCGCAAACATCAGGCATAGTACAGTATTTGTTTACTCGTACACACAGTACTAGTACTAGTATTTAGTATTTCGCAAACATCAGGTATACTACGTAGTAGTACAGTAGTTTTACAGTTAATTTCCATTGCAAAACCTGGGGTAACCTGCCAAAATCGTTCTCGAAGTATAAGGCCGAGTCTGGATGCCACAGAAATTTTTATGTCAAATAATATTCTGGCTGAGAATTCCCTTTGCAAATGGGAGGTGAGCAAATATTTTCGAAATGTTTTGATGTTACCTCTGGATGATGAGAACAATCGATAGAATATCATGTACTACGTAGTAGGTAAAATTGGACAGTTGCAGTTCAAACTTTTTTCTATCAGACAGTAAAAATTGGAATTATTATGTCACTTTATATATGTCAGCATTGGTAGCCAAACACACAAAAGCTGCCGTTTGAAAAATTGTCATAATATTTCTGAAAAGTTGCAAAACGAGGTGTTTTCTGACATTTTTTGTGGCAGCCAGAGTGGCCCTAAGTCTTTTTGTACTAATAAAGGCGCAGCCCATTTTATCGGAACATTACTGGAAATGATTACGCGCATATTCATCGTTTTAGGGTTTACCTGGGGAAAACGGGGGTTATTTGATATAAATCGTGATATTCCGGGGTAAAAGGGGTTTAGGGTTAGGCCTTTTGGAAACACATGATGTGGGTTTTATGAGCGGAGATAAAGGGGGGAAACGCGATGATTTTGCGGCGATATTGCAGTGCTTGAAGGTGGGCCAGTGGGCCACAGCGCAATCGATACGCGTACGATGGGACCCGAACGCCCCCGGAACAGACATGAATTTATCCAACAATTCGCGATCGATTGAGATAGGTCGTTCAAGGTTGGCAATGTGTCAATGTGGTGTTGCCACAAAGCCAGTGAAGGGGACATTTAGAATTTGCGTTGACGTTTCAATTGGTCTGTGTCGAATTGAATGATCTTGGCCCGAGCGAAATCGACATCACTTCCGACTGGTCGAAATTCTATTGATACCTGTAGGACCAGGCAGGCTACAGTACTGGAGCCATTACGTGAAAAAGCGACCACCACAACATCCTATCAAAATGGAATATGAGCGTCGTGGTGATGATTCAGCGGACTCGGGGGCATATTGAGTTTGCCGTGAACGATGGTGAATAATCTC